CGCACATTGTGGCCACTTAGATATATTCATTTAGTCTCAATCCAATGGAACATTTGTGACAGGACAGCTTGGGAATAAAGTGAATTAGCGATAGCAATGCAAAAATGTTTTGAAGGAGCGCATCAGATCATATAACAGACGGTTGATAACGTGCTTGACTAGATAGGCAAATGCTGTTCTGTTATCACCCTCGAGGTTAAGCAAAGATGAATGCTACCAGACGCGTCCCCGGGTTGTGGATAGGGGGCTACCTTCACCGAAGAACGTTAGCTGTGAATAAGTTGCGCTATACCGTAACAGATAAGCAGTCGCGAACAAACAGCAGTGGCACTACCAGGGTGTGGTGGGTTTCAGCCTGGTCACCTGGCTCCTGTTTAAAAGCCGCACAAGCCCGTTAACGGTATCGTGACAAAACTCAAGCTATTGACCCGTTCACTTCCGAGGCGTGGGATTACATCCTGCTCTGCCTTGCAGTTCGCACTTGGTCGAGCAAAGGCTAGAGGTGCCTCCCCAAGATAAAAACCACCAAGTGACACTTGGGATGTCTCTCGTACCAAACTCCCAAGGAACTTCATAATCATGTCTGGAGCTGGCTTATCCTCTCCAAGGAGCCAGCTGCAGTAAAGTAATGTAAAGTTAGGGAGCAAGGGAGAGGGACATTTTTGGTCAAAACTGTATCGGTGCCAGTACGTCCGCACCTTCGAGACCTCCAAACAGGCATATATTCTAACAGGACCCAAGTCGAAAGTTCCGTTCCCTCACTGCCGGTCTCAAGTTACTACTCAATCTGTGAAGGAGAAATGTGCTTTCTACTTACTGTTCCTCGCTGTAGCAGTTAAAAACAGAGATATCCGTTGGGGCCTCTAAGAATCTAACCATTTAGGACGGTTTCAGAGACACGGACATATTGGATCGATACAATACCATTCGTGAAAAATACGATTGGAACAACGAGAAACAACGTACTGACGATCTGTTGTGGCTAAACACGTCATATTGATGTGCTCACGATTGACCGGAACTGAAGAGAGCACCAGAGCGGAAATATCACTGTGCATTGCATCTCACACTGTTCATCATACTTATACTCTAACTGGGGAAGTAATGGAGTAAGTGGATAAGTTTTGTTATCTGGGCAGCTACATCTCACCCGGTGGGCGCATCACGGATGAAGTGTCAGATGGCATACAGAAGGCTCGGTTGGNATTTACCAACTTGAGACATCTGTGGCGCCGTCGCGACATCCGGCTGTCAGTGAAGGGTCCAGTGTATGCTGCAGCAGTTCGGCTATATGGAGCAGAAACTTGGTCATTAAGAAAACAAATAAAGATAGTGTTCGTGTTTGAACATCGCTGTCTACGCAGCATTGCACGAACCTGGTGAGGCAGCCGGACAAGCAATGCTGAGGTCAGGCGGAAAGTTTTAGGCGACCTCGGTCGCCCAATGGAGTAAGTGGTCGACCTCTATAGATTACGTTGATTGGGGCATGTTTTACGCATGTCACCAAATAGGTTGCCACGGCGAGCGATGTTTTCCGAAGCAGGTAGTGGGTGGAATAAAGCCTGGAATGAGGGTATGAAAACCCTAACTAGGAAACTGTGTCACATAGGTCCCGTTAGGCCCCCCGGATGGGAACCTCGGGATGATCGTACCCGATTGTTGGAAACACAGTAATATGGCTGGGTGTCGTAAACAGTGGCGTTCATGCATATTCTCAATTTCTCTGCTGCATTAGTCCACTGAACTTTTCCATTTTCTCTTCGATCCTAATTTAAACCTTTCCTGTCTTTCTCCTAATGTTCATCCAGATGGGCAGCCGAAAGATAGCAACCAAAACCGGCGCACGATAGTTCACGGTTAATGGTTGTACAAACGGAAACTGTTCATTATAGAGATTTACTTTTTCTTGCCTTGAATAGTCGTACTTTCTGTGTGCTGAGCTTGGTGGCGAATAGTGAAATTCGCTTCTCGGTATTGCGTTGTGCAACGCAGCTTCTAATGATCCGGTTCACTGTTTCGAACAGTCCAGAGTACAAACCCCTTTCTACCGGTACGATTCAAGGAATGAGAGCAACTACTAAGCACGTGAACCGCGAGTAACCAGAGCAGACAGTTATTTTCAGTATTTTTAGGGCGAATTTTCGTCTAGGTGAGAGGAAATATGATAAAGCACATTTTAGAGTAGTAGGCTTGGATTAGCCCATTTGACTGTTCAGAGGCACCAGACACTCTTGATGGTCTTTTTTCCAAACGCATCCGGTTGCGAGTGATGCCTTTGGCAGACCTAATCAGAGATAGACTTCGTGTTATTTGAGTCCCATTTGGGAGTTTGGATTTTGTAAAGAAATGCATTTCAAAGGGACTTTTACCCAGAACTGAAATCCACCAGTCTACTCCAACAATGCGCAGCCCATCCTATGATTAAATCTGTTTTAAAACACCTAACTGCCAAACATATTCGACATAAAATGTTTAGGTTTAACATCTAACTACCAACACCACAGACTATGATTGAACACCGAAATTGGGTTCGCATAGGCAGTTTTCAATTAGTCGTAGACCCATCACGAGAACCGTGTGAACTATGGTTTAGTGAGTAAATGTAGAGAATGAAAACATTTATTGCACACGTATATTCATCCGTATTTCTGAGACTCACAAAATTCTTTTGTTTTCCTGAAAATTGGAAATCCCAGTTTTAATACTGCAGAAACAATCGATATTTAAAAATTACAGATCCTTGTCATAGATTGTTAGGTAGTTTGAACCCAGCCGGGGCTTGTGTATAACCACACATACACGCACACGGGGTCTCCCTCTGATCAGTTGAGGATGGTGATAGCTCCTAGGGACAGCAGATCTATGCCAACTAACCATAAGCACAGGTTTTCCCGTCGTTTAGTAACCGCTAGCGATCATTTAGAGAAGCCTCTGGTGGGCTAGCTAGTGCTTGAGCACCCCTCGCGTAGAGCGGAACGAACAAATCGTTCAGACCACACTCAGAGTAGATCACAACACCACGAAAGTCGAACCCAGTTACATAATTCGAAAGCCTAACGGATACGAACAATGAGAAATGTTCATGTTGGAGTGGAAAAAACCACTTTATATAGGTTCACAGAACTGAATAATTTGCTAGAATACAGTTGTATCGATGTTAGTGTTCCAAGAAACGATTAGGATATGTCGAAAGACTACTTTTCTCTTTTCCCAATAAGTTCCTCGTGATTGATATTGATAGTGTACTTTTCTAACTATCCATCCAAAATTTCTCATTTGCATGCATTCCTTCAAAAAATCCATAAGATTTACTATAAAATGGTGAAAAGGGGTCAGTTACTAGGACTATCAAAAGCTAACAGTTGAACGAACGAGTGTGATGAGCGCTGACCGCAACACTCCGCCCACAAAACGAACCTTATTTTATTACACATCAGTGTATGATGAACAGCAGGTGGGGTGGACCCCATAGTCACGAAGACATGCTGTCCAGAGATGGTAACCGGTAACCTAAGCCCTAGGACTTGGAGTGGCGAAGCACATAAGGCCCCGATAGGTCAAGCGTGGTATAGAAGCGGGCGCCAGCTAGGCTGGTTACCACCAAAGTTGAGTGGCGGTGTTCGAACCTCGAACAGCAGGGTCCACGGTATGTCGGTGACAGCGACCAAACCTTTTCATTCCACAACCCCATCCCACCACCTTAAGGAAATCTGCGTTGTTCTGTAACCGTCACCCGAGTCTTGTATGGTTTAACTAGGTTCCTTGCGGCTACCACTGACCATGTGACAACCATCAGCGTGCGCATGCACACATCAGACCCATGTACGTGCGTACTGATATACCGGAACAATCTACGATAATGGTCTGTCATTTTGAACTAATGATTGTGTCTCGGCGTCAGTGGACCTGACAGTTCGACCTAAGCCTTTGAGAATCTGACTGGGGATACTGATGAGCCTGTTGATTTATTATGAGCAAAGTTGCTTTGTGTCCGCACGACAGATGCCTAATGCTTTTTGTCCAACTTCAAATATGACTATTGAGGAAATTTGCCTGTCTTAGCCACGACGAACGAAAAAACCAAAACACAAGGCGTTGGTGACAAAGTTTCGACCCTCTTGGAGGGCCTTTCTCAAGTTGTTTAATCGGTTAATCTCAATTTGCAAGCAATTATACGGTGATGGGACGATGACATCGTATAGAGCTCGGATGTGATCCGAGCATACGTGCGTATGTGTGTTGGTGATCGTTCGACCGGTGTTAGGGACGAGTGAAATTGGTTTGAACTTTAGATCAAAACGTGTGAATTGGTACATTTGGCATTGGGGATGGGGACGAGACTATTTTGTATGCACAAGTGTCAATTGTTGCCATAACTGTGGACTGACTCTCCATCGGACAGATTGATTACCGTAGGTTCATCGTTGATCACAAATGACTCTTTTTAAAGTTGAACTAACACTGGTCTGAGGACTTTGTCATCGCTAGTGCGTGCACAATAGTTTTTCCGGAGTTCACTCCTTTCATCGAGCATAATCAAAGTGTCCCAGGTGACCACGGAAAAGCCTTTTTTGTCAGAGATAATCAGAATTGCATGTCTGCCGAATTCACTGAGATTCAAACGCGAGCACAGGTGTGTTAATCCGACACGCAAGCCACTTCGGTTATCCGGGTTAGTCACGTCCTCGAGTCTCAAGATGTGTCAAGGATGTATAATGCAGGGTAGTTACTTTCAAATTCAAACCAATTTAACTTCGATCGACTAGAATCAGCAAAACACATACGAAGCGCAACAAATTACGATCTTGCATGNAGACAAACAAGACAGACTTTCAATTGACTAAGATCTATTGATTTTCACATCTGGATCATTTTACAGCAGCCCGATTTCATCAGATAAATTGTGTGGCACGGTAAGCTAGCGTCGGTTTATTTACATGGGAGGGGACGAGAGACATGTACAGAAGTACAGTGACAGAGAAAGAGAGAGTAACAGATGCTCAGTGGTATTTTGTGGTACCCCATTCCAAATGGTAGGGGCTTATGAAACTATGACAACCCGCATAGTTATGGAACAATACATGTTGCGTATCAGAGAACGGATTCACATTATGCGCAGCAACATAGGCATCCATGCGACGTTCAGCTTCCAACAGATCTTTGGAGACAAATCGAGCATCGAACGGCAATTTGTCTGCCACGGGAAGCAACAAGTGATACGCCTCACGCCAATCCAGGAATCCACCCAGTTCCATGATAATACGATCAGCTTTCACTGGTGTCACGTAGTGATGTATTTCAGCTAGAAAAAAAATCGATTTGAAAGTATTGATTTAATGGTATGAGGGTCAATCAAAGATGACCCCGGGGAAAAAACTAGGAGGAAAAATATAAGCTGAATTTTTCATAAAATATATAGAGAATAAAATGATTCGACGTGAGTCAGTGGAACATCATTAATTGCTTTCTATCCGACACAGACAAAATGACCATGCAATTCGCTCTCTCTCACACACAGATAAAAAAGAAAACCAGGAAAAACAAGTCAGCCTGGTTGACCACATGTGTGACGAGCCTCATTTCAGTAAACGGTACTATTTTTACTATTGATGCTATTACTATTATTATTATTATTACAGGTTACACAAATCTTGATCTATAAATTCGATGGAAATGTTTGTGACAACCGACAAAGAGCACTGGATAACTGTTTCGTCCTGTCTGGGACTCGTCACCAGTGCAAACTTTGTGTGGCCCTGTCAAGACTCGAACCGCGAACCTTCGGGTCGGGACTTCAAACATTCACCCCTAAGCTACACGGTCGACAGTCATCACCTTGTGCTAGATCCTGATTTCACATTTATATCACACATTTGAACCCAAACTGCGTGCCAAACAAATCAATAATAAAAATCTTTAAGACAAAGAGACTAATACCCGATTTGCACACGCTCAGGGTTCTGTCAAGTTGTCATTTTGATGAAAGTAACGAAGGAAAATTAGAATGTTGCGAGCAGAATCGAACACAGGGGAGGAAATTCACATGGACTAAGATTGCAAGGATAATGAGTAGATGCACCAGCGCCACCGTTTGCGACACTCAATCATGTCTCTCAGTGTCTCTAATTACTGGTTGCGATGATCCCGGGGTCCCTATCCAGGAAGGCTAACGGGACCTATGTGAACAAGTCCCGTGGTCAAAGTTGCCATACCCTCATATCAGGTCTGAGTATGACCAACCTTCACTGTTTTCCACGCAACATCCCTCGGCAAGCAGCACGCACCGTGGCAATCTATTTGGTGACATGCGAAGCACATGTTCCAACCAGCATAATCTATAGAGGTTGACCACTTGCTCCAGTGGGCGACCGCGATTACCTAAAACTCAGCGCTGCTCGTCCGGTTCCACACTAGATTCGTGTAATGTGGTGTAGACAGCGGTGTTCGAACACTGACTTTATCTTGTTTTCATAATGGACAATATGTATATATATATATATTGAAAGGGAGAAGGCGAGCACTGAGTGATAGTATTTATTGTGACGTTTCGATCCAGACTAGGACTCGTTATCGAACGATAATACGTCCCCAATGGATTGCGGTTCTCGCACACCGCCCCGCTACCTTGCGGGTCAGGCTTTGGCTAGCCAGTTAAGGATTCATCCAGAAAATTCGCCTGCCTTGGCCTAGGCAACCTGGTAGTATTCCGCCCACATGCAAATCTTAGAACGTCTTTCTTTTTCATAAAGATTATTCCGCCAGGATTTGTTTGCCACAGTCTATCGTCAGACATGTGATATATATATATATATATATATATATATATATATCGATAACGCAAAGGTTGTGGCGCGAGCTGAGAAGGGGGAACGATTAATCCTCGAAGCTTTGCACTCGGTCAATGCGTTCAACCGACACGTCGAGATAGACAAACATTACGTGGTGGACTGACAGACGTACAAACAGCACAGGCGCACGGAAAGACGGTAATCCCATTGTTTCGTTCATTTCATTTATATTTGACGAGTCCTAGTTTGGATCGAAACGTTACGATAAACATTTTACACCTGTGTACGCCTCCATTCTCTCTTGAAATATATATACATATATCCGACTGGCTGCACATCATGTTATCGATACAACAACATTAATAATAGAACAGGGACAATCACAAAGTACGATTGTTTACCTTTTCCTCCGCCCATTCGTTTTCCCATTGATCGCTTTGTTTTGGACTTCCAGGGTGATTCTACACCCCAAACTGCAAACATTCGTCGCTCGTCCATGTTCCGATTGATTGTGAGCCGAACCATTTCCAAATGGCCAAACAGTAATTCACCCCCTTCTAGGGCCTGTATTTGTGTGTGCGTATGAATGAAAATGAAAACTGATGCAGGACGGAAACTTTGGACATTAAATGGACACTTTTCTGTCTAAAAAGTGTGAAGTAGCTGAGTTCCACATTAAATAACCTAAGATTTAACAATGTAAGTTCAATGTTGGAAAACTTCAACGCCTGGTTCTTCCAAAGAAGAACGAGAAAAAGAGATACAAGCAATCTGTTGAGAAATTTTAGCCGTTTCTTTTCTACACCTACAATGTTATAACTACGTTTTAATTCAAATTTTCGTTTATTCGATCATGCACTTTGCGTTCCCAGGCAGCCTTCTCTCCCATACACAAACATTTTCCGCAGCACTTGTTACAGGCCAAGTGTATAAGTCATATTTCAACCAACTCAACCCGTTTGACAGCTTAGTTATGCAATTAACCATGTAGCTTGTTTATCAGTGATTTATTGTATTACGAGAAGGAGCATCACATAGTCTGAAAAGTTATTTCGTTGGATTGTCTGCAGATGCGTTCATGCGTGTGCTAACTGCAACACCTGACTGCAAGATGGACTGTGGTAATTTCAGTTCTCAGCAATAAGGGAACCCATGTATGGTGTATTGGCGGCGCCGTGGTTTAGTCGCTGTCACTGACGTGCTTTGGACCCTGTGGTCGGAGGTTCGAGCTTCGCTACCTCCACCCAACTTTGGTGGTAGGCGGCTTTGCTGTCTTCCAGTTCAACATCAAGCCTAACTTATCGGGGCCTTATGTGGTGCGCCACTCCATGTCCCGGGAATTAGGTTACCGGTTTTCATCACTGAACAGCACACCTTCGTGACTATGGGGTCCACCCCGTCTGCTGTTCATCACATACTGGTGTGTAATGAAAAAATCACCCTAGTTTGGTAATATTGGTCAACTGCATGAACTGGGCTCACTCATCTATCATCCGAACACCTAACCAGTCTGGTTTATAGTCACAGCCGGGAAGCACCCGCGTGTGCATGGATTGTCGGGAGAATTTGTGCGCTTGTGCATAAGATCCGGCTAGGTCCAAGCTATCCGACAATCGATACCGATCCATTTACCGTTCCATTTATAACTACCGAATGTATGTTTAACTGCGACTGTATGATAAGAATCAGTTGTACTAAATCCGGTCAGATCCGAATGTTATTTGGGTATGTACAAAAGAGGAAAATATTTAAAAAAATTGTGAACAGATTAAAAGAAAAATTCAGTCAATATTCCTGATTTGCTATGATTTCCGGTTTCCATCACTATAAACGGCAGGTGTACGCGACTATGGGGTTCACTCTGTCCGCTGTTTATCAAACAAATAGGTGTGTAATAAGAAAAATTCAAAACAAAACTTTGCAATGATTGTTATGAAACATTCGAGATACTTACAAATCGGCTACCGCTTGATTATGACTGTCTCATCGTTATTACAGGTAGGCATTCGTACGCCTCAAAAAGTTGCTATGTGGTCCGGAGTAGGTGTCGTGGAATGTGTCTAGTCAAATTACGAAAAACTTCTACACGAACAAGCGGCTCCAATAGTCTATGCTGAGTAAACCCTACTCACTGATTCGACGTGGTGGTGTTTCCCCTCCAAACGAAGAAGACAAAAAACCGAAATCTGTTGCTATAACGGGTGAACAACTGGCATTTAACCAAGAGTAGCTGGCGAAAAAACTGATAGCAGAGTAACCAAATTATCTAAGAATTCGCTCCCACAGCTTTCGTCTTTCAGATAATATGGTTCTAAACCGTGCACATCTTCCTGCTTCCAATTTTTCCCTCCAACTCACAATCACCCCCCTTCGAACATGTCCGATTTCATCGGGGTTTTCAGACAATCGTACCAACACCTGTGCCTCAGATCGAAATCCTGCCCCTATTCTCTTGAGTCCTATCTAGAATAGCGTCCGAGTTTCCACGAATCTTCCTCTACCACTTGAAACGCTTCTTTGCCCTTGATGTCTATTTAAACTAGGCATATTTAACGTGCATACTCTGACGTATATAGGACAACAGGCATGTTTAGCTCGTACCCTCGATACCTTGACCATTTATGTTGTTCCAAAGACACCCGCACTCAAGACTGCAGCTGCACCATCTAGTTGACTTTTTCATCAAATCCATCCGCGATTTACAAGAAAGGTGATAGGTCCTCCTGTTAAAACCACAGAGGAATTAGTTTAAGCAACATTGCCGCTCGTGAAGAGTGCACACGTGATAACCAGGTTGGTTTCAGACCTGGTCGAGGTTGTATCGACCACATCTTTACTTTTCGTCAAATCCTAGAACACAGACACTCTTTTTGCAGACCCGACATTTCCATCTTCTTCGACCTCAGAGCGGCTTTCGACTCAGTCAACCGCTCTAAACTCTGGCGCTGCCTTCCCTTGAAGGGTGTACCAGAGAAGTTTATTTCAATATTACAATCCCTCTACAATAATAGCGGAAGCCGAGTCCGAGCTTACGACACTTTTCACCCGATTTCACTATAGAAAGTGGTGTTCGACGGGGTTGCCCTCTCTCTCTCCATTTCTATTTAACTTTGTTATAGATTTAATTCTTGAAACAGCCCTATCCTCGTGCGCGGACAGCGGCATCGATTTATTCGCACGAGGCAGACAATCTGATCTAGAGTATACAGACGACATTGTGCTACTAAGTGAAGATGCAAGTAAGTTGAAAGCTTTTCTGGATAGTTTGAGTGCCAGTGTAGCGATGTACGGTATACGCTTTACGCCTTCAAAGTGTAAAATGCTATTCTAAGATTGGGTTGGCCTAGCCCCCAGCCTAATCCTGACCGGGGAAGTTGTAGAAAAAGTAGACAAGTTTTGCTATCTGGGCAGCTACATCTCACCTGGCGGACGCATCACAGATGAAGGGTCGGAGAGTATACAAAAAGCTCGGCTGGCATTTGCCAACTTGAGACATTTGTCGCGCCGTCGCGACACCCGGCTGTCTGTGAAGGGTCGAGTGTATGCTGCAGCAGTTCAGCCAGTCCTGCTATCCGTTGCAGAGACATGGCCTCTACGGGAACAGGATAAAAGTAGATTACCGGTGTTTGAACACCGCTGTCTACGCAGCATTGCACAAGTCTGGTGGGGAAACCGGAGGTTAGGCGCAGAGTTTTAGGTAATCGCGGTCGTCCACCCCCATAGATTACGCTGGTTGGGACATGTGCTACGCATGTCACTAGATAGGTTGCCACGGCGAGCGATGTTTGCCGAGGCAGGTAGCGGTTGGAAAAAAATGAAGGGCGATCGAGCTGAGACTTGGCATGACCAGGAGACTGGGTCACCTATGTCCCGTTAGGCTCCCTGACTGGGGACCTCGGAATCATGGTCACCAATGGTTAGAGACATTGAGCGATATGGCTGTGTCGTCAATAGTGGCGCTCATGCATCCACTCATTATCCTTGTAACTTAAGTTTATGAAAATTTACTGCCTTTCGCTTGAATCTGCTCTCGATTCTAATTATGCTGCTGTTTTATCCAGATGGGCAAGCAAAAGATAGCAATCAAGTGTATGGTTAATGGTTGTAAGAACTGAATTGAACTGAACAATTTCTGATCCAGAACGTTACATATCTGAACGTTTTGAAATTACAATGGTATACACACATGTCTTAAAAGGACATTAGAACTAAAGGATTTCGGTGACTAATTGTGGCAGTGGCCATCAGAAGAGGTCACGTTGGACGCTCACATAACATCTAAACTCATTTGTTTATTTTGCATATTGCAGCCTATTTGTCGGTCAGTTCTCCATACACAAGAGAGGGCTTGGCAAGTACTGTCTAGTTTATGCCGATGATCAAAAGCCAATTCAGTCACCAAGGGACTATGGGCGAATTTGTGGTGACAACCTACCAAAAAGGAAAATCATTCAAGGTAACCTGAGAGCAGAGCTGCAGCTGAACAATGCACGCCCGCGCGGTTGCCGTTTAATTCTTCGGAAGCAGTATTCACACGGAATCCCGTCGGTGTATCATTTTCCACGAGTGACCAATATTTAGAATGCTCTCCCGGCGAACTTGCTGGAAGAGGTGTGAAGACACGTTCAAACGGCGTCTAGACGATTTCCTGGTGAAAGGGCCAATGGGTGTTTGCCAAGGCCACTGACCACGAAATGAACGTAACCTTCATTGACTTTAGCAAGGTTTTCGATAAGGTCTTTCAAAGACGGATGTCCGAGAAACTGAAGGCTCACTGTGTCGGAGACCCACTATTACCCTGGATCAAGGATTTCCTTGTTCGGCGAACATTTTCCACGAGAGTCACCTAGACTGAATAGCGTAGCTATTCAGTCACTAGTGGGGTACTGCAGGGTTCCGTTTCATATCCAGCAGTTACTCCTTTACGTGAATGATTTGCTCTCCCGGTTACAGTTGCACTACGCGGACGAGGTGAAACTGTGGAGAGCCATGGGAACGCCGGAGGACCACCATGCCCTCCAAGAGGACTTGAATAGACTACTCGAATGGGCTAATGTGTGGGAACTCCCGACCAATCCGGCGAAACATGCACACATATCACCGGGTCGCGAGCAAGCTTCGTGCCAACGCAACAACAAGAACAACATGAATAATGTCTCACTGCGCTCAACGGCTATTGACTGGGATCTGGGGGTCATTATCTTCTCATTCATGAAGACGCCGATGAACACGACGCAGGCATGTCCCACGACAAGGAGCATGATTGGTGCAATGTTTGATAGTCTGTCGATCATGAACTTCAAGAAGCTGTTTACCTTCCAGGTTAGACGGTGACTTAAAATATTACGAAACAGCTGTTTACCCCGAAATGGCTAACTTGGAACGGGTACAGCACTACGCCAGGCAACTAGTCGTGGGACTTTGTTGGATCAGTTATTAAAGTTGACTCCAAGCTCTAGGACTTTTCCTGGGTAGCCACACGAAACTCTGTGGGGACCTGAAACACCTGTGGAAGATCCTTCGCC